TTGAACCAATGATTGAATAGTAGATATAAAGCTTAAATCAGCAAAGTTTATAAAACCAATAAATATTAAGCGAAAAAAACAAAAAAAAAAAGTTACTCGGATCGATTTTACCGTCTCATATTTCTAAATTTTCAACTTAGTTGACGGTACTGAGATCAAATTAATTTTACCATTCCAATCCTACTGCATATTCTTGCAAACAAGTTTTTTTTTACTCTCCATCCTTTATTTTTGGGAATTCTTCTGCTCAATCCAGCAGCTTCACTCACTTAATTATTTGGTCACTCCTGCCTAGTCCCAAAGGAATATAGTTAAGTCTGAAGGACAGCAGTCAACTCCTCAAGACGCGAGTCAAAAGAGGAAGGAAGCTCAGTTAGCGCCTTCAAGAGAGGGAAACCAAAGGCGGGAACCAAGTCCAAGAGACATGGGGGCCGGACCCTCAAGTAATTTAAAACAACTACGTCTGCATATACATTCTCGAGGGTCTGCAATTTTCCACCATGCAATACAAAAATCTTCAAAGGAGATTAGCTGCGCTGGCCCACCTTTCGTGACCTATTTACGGCTATCTACGTGAATAATTCCAGGCTAACTCCAGTGGAAAGCTTTTCCACTAAAACGCCAAAACTAGCGGAGAAGCTCACGCCATTGCACTATGGGGCGTTTGACCGTTTTTTTGGAATAAATGTAATTTTCAAAAGTATGCCGATTTTCGATTTTTTTTATTTTAATGTATTAAGAAAACATCAATCTGTTTTCTAACATACCGCAAATGTTAACTTTACAGTCTAGTATTTAAATACCTGTGCAAGCGCACAGGGTTAGTTTACTTTTTGCCGAACTTTGAAGCTCATTTTGAAAACAGTATTTCTCTAATAAAATTAAGTGAAAAATTCTAATTTAAATTGGTTAGGAATTCTTCAGGTATGTACTTTGTGTAAATACTAATATGTTGCTTGATGTGTGCGTCCAATACTAACAATTTGTAAATGTAGCAGGTGATGTTTTCGTTTGGGTTTTGGAAAGAAAGTTCAACTTTCCGTAGAGTTTTAAAAAAATGTTTAACTTTGTTTAGTGAGTGTCTATATTCATTTAGTAGAGTCATTAATTGCGAACTCAGAACATTTTGTCTCATCGTGCGCTTCGTGCGACTTTTCGCGTAATTTAATTTCTTTTAAACCAATCTCTTGATCAGAAACAGAACGTTGCTGGATGTGTGGCATAAGCAAAAGGGTCTTTGAGACGTTAGTGAGCAAGCAAGTTGATCCCATTCTTGTTGAGATAAATCAAGCAAGTTGATCTCATTCTTTTTGAGATAAATCAAAGCTTTTTAAAAGAAAAATCCCGAATTTCTTCCGTAAACTTATTACAAAAATGGCGAAAATGCCAGAGGAAGATGGATAAGTTATCCAAAAAATATTCAAAGTGGGTGGAAGGCAATTTTAGCTTAAATTTGATTGGAAATGCAAGCAAATCTAAGCAAAGAACCGCTGAATGTCTAAAAATATCATTTTGGTTAAAATGTTCAAGAGGGAAAATTGATGAAGCTAACTATATCTCAGCGGTTATCTGATTTAAGCAGCAGGCATAGAAGCTCGAAAAAATTAAAAAAACATATCTGCCTGTTATATTCAAGTTACTAGCTTAAATCCAGCACAAACCAAAATGTTCAAATGCAAGCCCATTGAGCAGCCTGTACGTTCTTCGACAGAGGAGACTTTGGCTTTAAAACTTGATCAAGGCTTCACCAAAGAGCAGTAATCTGCAATTTGAGAGGACGCAAAGAGCAGGAAGGCAAATATGTATCCTATTATATTCTACAACATTGAAATTGAAAATAAAAAATATATATAGAACAATTTGCTATATAAAAAGAAAACAAAATTTTTTTTTTTAATTTTGTGGGGGGGGGTAATTTTACTTTTCCAACATGTGTGTAAGGGTATGTAGAACACTATAAAAAAACCTCATTGAAATATGTTATATAGTTCGCGAGTTATTAATTTATTCCAAAAAATCGGTCAAATGCCCCATAGTGCATTGTCAGTTGGGCACGACAATAAAAGATCTTCAAAGCACCATTCCGGGGTGTTTCATAGCACTTCAACATTCGGAAATCTGCACAGAAAATTGGCATTGCCTCTTTATTAGCCTTTGTTCCTCCAAGTTGCCAAAGTTCACCCTCTCCTTATGGTCCAAAATCCCTTCCTGGGAAGAGATGAACTCTTTTCTCGAAGAAATTGGAGATGTCCGACCCACAACATTCAAAATAGCTCAGAAGTCCACAGATAAGAAGGGTTAATACTTTTGGGACGCAAGTCGGACCACGTGGAAGGAGCCTCATCCAGATCGGCTTTGTCCTCGCCTTCTCCAGATGACTCAACCGTAAAGGGCATCATAGCATTAAAGCAGAAGCAATTATGCCTTAATTGTTTCGCTAGGGGACATCATCTTTGGGAGTGCATGAGCAGGCACAGCTGTTTTACATGCAAGGGACGGCATAATGCTTTGCTGCATAAAGACAGTCCGTCTAATTCTATAAGCGCAGTGCACTCCTGAACAGCACATCTCGAACATTTCTCCAATCAGCAGGGAGTTATTCTAGGTCCGACCATTGCTCAAGTGTTTCATCTAGGAGTTGTTTTGCTATTTTGCTTCGCATTTCCGCAGAAGCAGCGGATGAAAGTTGATTCTGATCCGGGAAAGATCATCGTAACTTATAGACATATAGTATAGTCGGTGGATTTCATCGGCAGGAATCCAAAACAACACTGTAGAAGCCAAAACAACACTGTAGAAGCCAAAACAACACTGACGTATTTTTAGTTTCGTTAACAGTTTATCAATGTATCTATACTTTAAAGCCCAAAACCATGACCATTGGTGTTATGGTTTTCGAGTAATATTATCTCGAATGTCTGAAATTTACCAATTTTTTGTTTTGTGATGTAAGAATTTGATATTTTCTATTTTTGCAACGCTATTTGTTCAAAAGGCGCTAGTGTGCATCAGTTATAGCCGTATGACATTGGCGCATTAATTATGCCCATATGATACTGTAATGCAGTTTTCATTAATTAGCTACTTCATTAGAACCTTGAAAGAGTCCACTATATTGTTATTTTGCTTGGATTATTTTGGTAATACGACTACGGTCACACCGACCGTAAGAGGTAAACAAAAAAAACGGCCGCCATTCGCGGCGTATTATTATGAATTTCTGAATTCCTCGTCGAAGTATTATTGCATAAATAAATGCAGAATCCTTTAAATTTATGTTTTTAACCTATAATGCTTAAAATTTTTTAAATTATTACAAAAAAAATAATTTTAATTAATTTTACAGCGAAAGAACCTTGCTACCGCAAAACATATTATTTTTGCTAATTTTCTAATATATTTTCAGTTCAAAAAACAAGCGAAATGATATAAAAATAAAATTCTCATTGTGAGACCATACTGTCAATGAGCTGGCTAATACATTTTTCAATTACAATTTTCTTCATTAAACCCGTATTTTGTTATCGAGTATCTAGTATATAATATGTAGATCTATCGATTATCGCGGTAATGAAGTAGCTAATGCCCATATGATACACTAATGCAGTTTTCATTAATTAGCTACTTCATTAGAACCTTGAAAGAGACCACTATATGTGTAATTTTGTGTAATTTGGCTTGAATTTTGCTTGGATTATTTGGTAATACGACTACGGTCACACCGACCGTAAAAGGTAAACAAAAAAAACGGCCGCCATTCGAGGCGTATTACTATGAATTTCTGAATTCCTCGTCGAAGTATTCTTGCATAAATAAATGCAGAATCCTTTAAATTTATGTTTTTAACGTATAATGCTTAAATTTTTTTTAATTATTACCAAAAAAATGTTTATATTAGTTTTACAGCGTAAGAACCTTGCCCTCGCAAAACATATTATTTTTCCTAATTTTCTAATATTTTTTCAGTTCAAAAAACCAGCGAAATGATATAAAAATAAAATTCTCATTGTGAGACCATACTGTCAATGAGCTGGCTAATACATTTTTCAATTACAATTTTCTTCATTAAACCCGTATTTTGTTATCGAGTATCTAGTATATAATATGTAGATCTATCGATTATCGCGTCAATGAAGTAGCTAATGCATTATTCTAATGCATTAGAGCGCAATATAGTCGTCTTGCTCGCACTTGTGTAAAACGCTATAGCGCTGTCAAATCTTTAATGAAGTCTCTAATTAATGCGGCAGTGTCATGCCAGTATAATGCATTATTCTAATGCATTAGAGCGCCATATTGTCGTCTTGCTCGCACTTGTGTAAAATGCTATAGCGCTGTCAAATCTTTAATGAAGTCTAATTAATGCGGCAGTGTCATGCCAGTATTAGAGACTTCATTAAAGATTTGACAGCGCTATAGCGTTTTACACAAGTGCGAGCAAGACGACTATATGGCGCTCTAATGCCGCGATAATCGATAGATCTACATAAAATATACTAGATACTCGATAACAAAATACGGGAAAATTAGAATTGAAAAATGTATTTGCCAGCTCATTGACAGTATGGTCTCACAATGGGAATTTTATTTCTATATCATTCGCTGGTTTTTGAACTGAAAAATATTAGAAAATTAGGAAAAAGACAAATTTACATTATACGATAACTTTATGACTATCGATAGTTCGGTGATCAATACGGTGCCAATTGTATTTCCAATAAGTATTATTAAATACGAAGTGTTTTTGCATATCAACTTATATTGCATTAAAATAATAAGTATTAAACAAATTGTAATGCAAGTCTTCTTGCGGCTAACCTACGACCAGCAGTTTATGTTGTTTGTATTTTGCGGAAGATATGTTGTTTCGCTCGAAAAATGTACCGGGCGCAGATATGTCGCTATGCCTACTGTAAGATACATCATCTCTTTTTAAAAATGTGCTTATAGGTTTTTAAATGGACTGTTAATCACACAAACTTATTTACATTTTCTTTTAGGGCTTTTCAATTTGATGCACTCAACTATTGAAACGAAAGCAGAGTTGTATATAAGGCAAGCCAGTCCGGAATCATATCGTCAAGTCCTACGAGGAATCCGACAAAAGGAGATTTACAAAATAATCGTGGATACAAATCCGACTCATATAAAAACTTTTTTTCGATCGGTAAGCCATCCTGTTGCAACCATATAGAAAATGTGAAAAGATTCCGTTAGAACCTTTAAGGTGGATAAGTCTGCGAACATTAATGTTTTTAATGTTAAAAGAAAACATCAATTCAAATTTGTATTTTTACTATTGTTAAATACATTGATGCACCAATGTTTTTTTTACCATTAGTAACAATAGTTTTCCTAGTACTCTGGTCAGCTTTGCATTGGCGTTTCCCCTCTTTTTTTAAAGTGTTATAATTATATATAATAATATAATATAATTATAATAATATAATATAATTATAATAATATAATTATAATATACGATCGTTTCATTGGCGCTACCCAATTCATCAGACCACTTGCTATCTATTGATAATTATATTGGTACTTAAACTTCAATCTAAGGTAGGACCCATTGGGAATCCTATGCGTCAATGCGAAGGCAAAAGCAAACCAAAAAGAAAATCGGCAATAGTTCTTTTGTTGTTTTTGAACCAGTTGTATGGAATGCAGTCTAACAGACTTATCAGAGGCCAAAGTTAAAAAGCTTACACTACGGAAATCGTAGCGGGGAGATAGAACCGCTCAGAGTGCTGTCCTGGAAGTAGGTTCGCACGGTCTCAGTCAGCTCCCGGATTGGAGCGCAGAATGGACACGCGTCCTGGTGTCAATCCGCACCAGCGCGGTCGGAGTTCCGTCAGAGCTTTGCGTGGCGGTCGCAGCGTGCCAAGGAGCGGCAAAATAGTGCCGCATAGCGGCAGATGAGTGCTGAAGAGCGTCAGCTGTATGACGAGAAGGAGGCATCAATTGATGTGAACATCGTCGAGGCTCGGCAGTTCCGAGTGCTCGTGGACCAAACAGTTAGCGCACTCAGCCGGAGGAATCGTCGACATTTTCGTAGCGGGTGGGCTCCGTTGCAGACTCGGCAACGGTGGGATTTCACACCTCGTGTTCCCTTCTTTTCATTATGATGGCGCTGTGTAAACGGGGGGACATCGTTTCTGATCTGGTTTTTGGGAGAGGATACAGAAGAGTAAGAATCAGTATGAGTTAGAACTACGACTTATAAGTATGAAGTCCCGCGACGACCGGCTATTTCGGTCTTTCGGAGGTTCCCCCCGGAAGCAGTACGATCTTCGCGATAGTTCGTTTAACGATCCTCCGAACAGTGCGGATACTCACTACTCGGACTACTCGGGGTTGGCCACATGTTTCGCTTATGGGCCAAAATCTTTCAGAATCATTCAATTTTAAATTTGGTTGACCTCTGGAATATTTTTCAACATTCTAGTTGAACATTCTATGTTTTTGCACAACAGCTGTGTGGTCTATTGCAGCAGCATCCTAGAGATGTAGCGCATTGATAGGAAAGTCCGAGTGTGGTCACACTAGCCTGGCTTAACGAGCGCTTGGAGAAACCACCAATTTTCTTAATTGGTATTTATCTTTTTTTAATTTATTTTTTCTCTTTTCCTCTATAATATTACATGTTATAACACAAAATTCGTGTATTTTTATTTTAATTTATCCTACAATAACCAGGTGTTCCTAAGGTTCTGCCGTTCTTAAAGTTTCAGTAACTTTTCTATTCATAGTTTATGGTCTTTTCTTATAGTTTTTGTTGATTAATTTTTTTTTCAGATATTGCAACTTCAAATGAATGACCACCGATACCACTATATGTTTACAACCTTTGTAAGTATTATTTTTATAAATATTTACGATATAGAATAAATTTAAAGGTTTCAAGGTTTTAATAGTCTTTTTACACAGCTTCTTAAAGTCGCAACATCTTGTCACTTCACTACACTAAGTCCGAGATGATGAGATCAGTTGATTCCATAAGCAACATGAACATACTCTAATGAACATCGAATTATTTAAAATGTTTATTAAATCTATAGAGCATGTCTTAATTTATCTAATCTTAAAAACTTTTTTAAAAATTACATGTATATATTATGTCATATTTATGGCTTTAAGATTTTCGAGCTTACACACTGGGTATTCCCTATAAGCCTAGTACCACTAACCATACAACATATAGACTAGTCATTTCATACAACAAAAATGGAACCAAAAATTTCTTAGCGACAGGCCCCGTAGCTTCGTGTGAGAGTTCAGTCGCAGAGTGGCGCATCTTCAGAAGGTTGTTCTGTGCTTGAACTCTTCTTTGTATGTATGCGTGTTCATGCATTCATGAACACGGGTGCATGTGTGCAAAGCGCCATAAGTTCGCCACAGAAAAAACGACATAATTTCGCCAGCCGCGATCTTATGTCGCAGAAAAGCGTCATAAGTTCGCGTGAAGTGGCTGGCGAAATAATGTCGTTTTCCTGCGGCGAACTTATGGCGTCCTCAAGCGTCATGAGATCGCGCGAAATTATGTCGTTTCAAAACGGCGAAATTATGGCGGCGGAGTTATGTCGTTACCCCTGTCGTTTTTTCTGTGGCGAACTTATGGCGCTTTGCAGCATCATAAGTCCGCCACAAATTATTTTAAAGCGAAATAATTTCGCGCGGTCTTATGACGCTTTTCGGCGTCATTGGGCGAAATTGTGGCGGCGGACTTATGTCGCTATGCCGAGCGAACTACATTGTTGTTGGTTGGATTCAATAAGAAGAAAAAAAGGTTTTGTGAAGGAATCATTAAGACAACAGTTAATTTGCAAGAACCTTCTTGGCCTCAGTTTCAATCCAAGTGGATAAAAAAAGTTCTCTTTAAATCAAGCCCTGCTCAGAACCATGTGCTCCGCATGCGGAATCAGTTTTTCTTTATTCCCTCTAATAAAAGGAATAAGCTTCACAACCTTTTTATAACGTTCCCTTGAGAACGTCTAAATTTTGTAAGGGTCCGCAATTTAATAAGAGAATGGAGCCAGTCAATACAAATACTTCTTAGATATTATCTTGAAATATAATTAATTTAATTGCAAATATTTAATTGAAGCTTTTTCCTTGCGTGTTTAACTAATGGGAAAATTTTCAATAAGCCTTTCATTTCTCGGCTCATACATCAGAACTGTTATCACCGAAATATAAGAACAAAAGGTGGAAAAAGTCAATTTTTAGTATATTAAGGATATTTTATCATTCAATAAATATCCCCAAATGTCCCCAAAAAACTCTTTGAGTATTTATTTTATTTTTCTGTAGTAATAAGTCTCCCCAGCCAGCCGAAAATTCTAAACTCCAAAGTTTTCAAGCTGTTTTTACAGTATATCGGCTAAATCGGCCCATCAGATGTGGGAGAGATGTCCTCATAGCGGTTACCTCTTATGTCTGAATTACTTACCTTCGAGGAGCGCGACTATGTTGAAATCCTTTGTGTGAAAGCATCATTCAATGGAAGATAATATGTTCCTACTTTAATGTCTGAACTTCCTATTTATTATCCAATTGGTTTCCAATAGACCCTCACAGAGGGACCATTACTAGTTCTTGGTGATTTTAACATCCCAGGTGTAATTTGGTCATCATATAAACTTTTTACTACAATTTATTTGCTGGCTTGTTAGACATTTCGCTTTCTCAAGTCAACCATGTACTAAATTCCTTAGAGCGACTTGGTCTTAGTTCTGCCTTTGATCCGGCGAGAGTTAGCTAGGGTGGTGTCGCTCACGCAACCCAAAGATCCATATCCTTCTTTCAATGTGACTCTTGACATTGAGACTGATTTACAGAATATATCTGATAGTACAGCCAAAGAAGTCCTCTGTTTTCGCAAGACGGAGTTTGAACGGCTGAATAATTATACCCTTGCAGGGTATTATAATTTCAGTTTGCAACGTATATATATATTCTTTATCAGCATCAACAGCCGAGTCGATCCAGTCATGTCTGTCCGTTTCTTCGCAAACTAGTTCCTCACCTTTCAAGCTATCTGAATAAAACTTTGGAAATAGTCTTCTGAATACTCTCCCTGCTATATATGTCGGAACGGGCCGGATCGGACGACTATATCATAAGCTGCCATAGAAATGATCAGAAAATTATAACTTTGTTGTTTTCCAACATATTTTCATCTTTTTTGAGATATGGCCATGATTTATTATTTTAGAATTTCGCTTTTAATTTTATGAAAATCAGACGACTATATATTATAGGTGCCATAGGAACGATCGGTAAATAAATAGAACAAAAGTATACCTTTGTTGCTTTTTGACGTATTTTCATCTACTCTGAGATAAGAGCTTTTTTATTATTTCAAAATTATGGCGTAAATTTTAATAAAATCGGTCGACTAAGCGACAAAACAAAAAGTCTAGGCTTTATGTTAAATTCAAACTCACCGGTTCTCAAGTCACCCTTTTCGGCTATTTAACGGCTCGGTCAAACTTTACCGTTCTGAAGGCGCAGTGTGTCAATAACTATTTGACTCGTTGTAAAGTTCAGTTCTCAAAGGTTGCAAAACAGTTTATTAGTATTGTTAACACTAAACATAAGCCGAAATAATCATTAGGCGATTGCCTATCTATTTGCGCAGGTTTTTTCAAACAACTTTTTTAAATTTCACAGACAAAAATCAGACTAATACTGGCATGACACTGCCGCATTAATTAGAGACTTCATTAAAGATTTGACAGCGCTATAGCGTTTTACACAAGTGCGAGCAAGACGACAATATGGCGCTCTAATGAATTAGAATAATGCATTAGCTACTTCATTGCCGCGATAATCGATAGATCTACATATTATATACTAGATACTCGATAACAAAATACGGGTTTAATGAAGAAAATTGTAATTGAAAAATGTATTAGCCAGCTCATTGACAGTATGGTCTCACAATGAGAATTTTATTTTTATATCATTTCGCTTGTTTTTTTAACTGAAAAAATATTAGAAAATTAGGAAAAATAATATGTTTTGCGGTGGCAAGGTTCTTGCGCTGTAAATTTAATTTAAAATTTTTTTTTGGTAATAATTAAAAAAATGTTAAGCATCATAGGTTAAAAACATAAATTTAAAGGATTCTGCATTTATTTATGCAAGAATACTTCGACGAGGAATTCAGAAATTCATAGTAATACGCCGCCAATGGCGGCCGTTTTTTTGTTTACCTTTTACGGACGATGTGACCGTAGTCGTATTACCAAAATAATCCAAGCAAAATTCAAGCCAAATTACACAAAATTACACATATAGTGGTCTCTTTCAAGGTTCTAATGAAGTAGCTAATTAATGAAAACTGCATTAGTGTATCATATGGGCATAATTAATAAATTATACAAGAAAGGAAGCTAACTTCGGCACGCCGAAGTTTGTATACCCTTGCAGATATTATTTCATTACATTTTACCTATACTTTTTATGTTTACAGTTTGACAGTTACAGTTTTACATTCACACCTTTACATTTTCTCTACATCTACCGATCGCTCCTATGGCAGCTATATGACATAGTTGTCCGATTTTCATGAAATTTATACCAAAATTCTAGAATAATAAAGTAAGCGTATATCTTAGAGTAGATGTAAATACGTTGAAAAACAACGAAGTTATAATTTGTTTCCTGTTAATTTCCCGATCGTTTCTATGGCAGCTATAAGATATAGTCGTCCGATTTTCATAAAATTTTTGCCAAAATTCAAAAATAATATAAAATGGCCATATCTAAAAAATGGTGCAAAAATGCAAAGTTATAATTTTTTTTCTAAGAATTTATCGAACATTTGTATGGCAGCTATATGATATAGTCGTCCGATCCGGCCCGTTCCGACATATATAGCAGTGAGAGTATATAGAAGACTATATGCAAAGTTTCATTCAGATAGCTTTAAAACTGAGGGACTAGTTTGCGTAGAAACAGACAGATGGACAGACGGACAGCCGGACATGGCTATATCGACTCGGCTGTTGATGCTGATCAAGAATATATATACTTTATAGGGTCGGAAACGTCTCCTTCACTGCGTTGCAAACTTCTGACTGAAATTATAATACCCTGCAAGGGTATAACAAGGCTGCCCTCCGCATTCAGAATCGGCTCCAGAAAAAGGCCGCCCTATCCCCAGAGGAGAAGGTAAAGTTTACATGGGTCGAGGAGAGGATCGCTGAGGGCAGGCTTCACTTCGCCAAACTCCCCCACATGAACTCGACGGGCGGATTCGCCAACAAGGTGGAGGAGACGCTTGCCAAAAAAAGTCAACGCCCGAGATGGCCTGTAAGGACGCACCGGGGAGCAAGCGGCAACGCGGGCCCAAGGAGGCAAGCTTATTCCAAATGGCAAAAAAAGCCCAACAAGACCGCAAAAGTCAGTTAGGTGACCAAACGAAATTTGATCGTGGCCGTCATTGACAGAAGCGATAAAGCCGGCAAGATGACCGAGGCGCGGAAAATGGGGCATGCTCTCCTCGTTAAGTCATTGTATGCACGGATGGAGGAAGATCCCGGAGCTCCCATGCCCACCTTTGGCGGTGCATGGATGCCCCGACGAGAAAGTGGCTGACGCAAGCGCTCTGCCAGTTGGAGGCGCTGTGGGATGGGACCAAGCTGGTAGTAGTGGACAGGGAGCTAATCCCATCCATTTCAAAGGCGAAGTTTTTCTTCCACATCGCAATCCAAGGGGACCGGGCGCTGAAGCTGCTGCAGCGTCAGAATCCGGATATGGAATCTGGTGGTAGGCGACCTAATCAAGAGATTCGAGAGGAAAGCACCAAAGATAACAGCTTATGCGGATGACATAAACATAATTATCACAGAAGTCTGTCTATCGACCCTCAGCTCGATAGACGCTCAGTGAGATATGTGAGTGGGCGGAGAAGGTAGGACTCAATATCAATGCGGATAAGATGGACCTCATTCTCTTCACCAAGAGATACAAGGGATCCCTCCAAAAATTAACAAAACCAGTATGACCCCCAAAACACAAGTCAAATACCTCGGCATTTTACTTGACAGCTGACGTGGAAGCCAATGTAGTAGAGAGGGTGAAAATAGCCAAGAAGATGCTTAGCAGCACATGGGGCCTCTCATCCGCTCTAATGCTATGGGTCCACATATAGGTGCTGCGACCGACTCTGCTGTATAGAGTCTTATATATAGTCTATTTACACCAGGCTGCGTTATTGCGTTATTGCGTTAACTCAGTAAACGTAGTTTTTTTTACTAGTAGTTTTTAGTGATGGGAAAAAGTTGCGTCCAAGTTGCGTCCAAGTTGCGTTCATATCGATAACAACAGATTTGTTCGATATTCGTGTCGATTACAACAAATTTGTTAGATTTCTACTCGATATTTGGACTATCGAACAAGTTCCACCACCAAATCGGTAAAAAAACAAAGCAGCCGACCATTGATAATTCAAATAATTCAATCTGATTTCAAAAACGGCCGAAAATAGATTTGTGTGATACACAATGTCTGAAGAAGAAGAGCTGTCGTTGGGGGCACTTCTAGGGGATTGGACGGAAAATGTCTTAGCCAGTCGTCCATTCCTGAGACTGGCCAGTGAAAGAATTGTCGGGACCAATTGGAAGAACTACTAGAAAAAAAAAGCGGACTCCTCTTCATCAGGAAGACAGAAACAAACTTAAAACCAAACAATTAAAATAAAAATCTATAAATTTAAAATGTATATGCAAATTATTTATTGGAAATGTACGCCCAACGCTTGCGTAATGCGTTATGCATTTTCGGTTGCATTTCCTATACAAGTTTCTTGATCAGGTTGTCCCTTCCTTATTGCACACTTTTGATCTGGATACGGCAAGGGACCTCGCTATAGTGGGGTATTCCGCAGGGGATCCCAAGGTGTTCAGGGCAATCTCTGAATTTTGAAGCTCCTCGAAGGTTGCTGAAGACATCCCAGCCAAATCCATGAACTTTAAGCTGTCGTCGTTGTTCATTTTCGTAATTTTTTTTGTTTCAAATAATTTCCAACAAGCTGTCAAAAACTAACGCAATAACGCAACTTTTGTAGTATAAACTAGCGTCTTGCGTTATTGCGTTAATTTCGATTTCGATAGGTAACTCAGGTCGGTGTAAATATACTATTAGTGTGGTGGCAAGCCATTGAGAAGAAAACGTATATAATAAGCTTATGGAGAGAACCCAGCGGCAGGCACTGCTCTGCATATCAGGGGCGCTGAAGTCAACCCCCACCAAAGCACTCGAAACCATAATCGGTATATCCCCTAGATATCCAAGCCCAACTGACTCCGGAAAGGCGGCACCACGTCTGGTTGCATCAGGAAACTGGTCGCTACAAGGATTCGGGCACAGTTCAATTGGTCGAGACATGAGCAGTACATCTGACTACATCTGATACCCAGAACGTGCCCGGATGTAAAGACAACTGTATTCATTGGACCAAATGACTGGAAGTCAGGCCAGGACCATGCTCAATAACTCAATATATACACCGAAGATATGTTCTAAATTGCAAACCAATTGGTCCAGTAGTTTTTGAGTTGTCGTGTACACAGACTTTCAAAATTACACATTAAAGGAGAGCGATTTAAACTTTTTGAATCCCATACATTGAACATCATCGTTCAACTCTGCATAACTTCGTCAATTTAGCTATGATCGATGTAAAACTTTGACACAATAATCTTAATATATTGAGCCTCCAAAATAAAAAAAATTTAAAAAAAATATTAAATAAATGAATTAATTAATTAATTAATTAAATAACTTTACCCCTAATTTAGAATTAAGTATACAATGCACAAATAAATAAATATATTTATGATAAAAAAATAAATCTTTAATAATTAAATTAATACCATATACCTAATAGAAGCTTAAACAAAAATTTGTTTATTTTTTATAGGATTTGGAGACGTATGATTTGGAGGATTTTCGGTACAACAGCGTTAATATAACTGCATTTCGTTTGGTCGATGTAAATAGCAAGCGTTATCTTGAAGTCATTGATCAAATGCAAAAAATTCAACATAATGGCTTGGAAAATATTAATGGAAAACCATATATAAAGGTATTTATTTTTATTTATTATTATTTCTTGTACAAATTTCGCCCACGATTTTTAGACAGATTCTGCTTTGATGTTTGATGCCGTGTACGCTTTTGCGTCGGGCTTACATTTCTTAAATTTGGATGATCACCGTTCCAATTTTGGCATACAAAATCTATCCTGCACTTCCGATCATACATGGGATGATGGAGTTTCATTATATAATCATATTAATAGTGTAAGTATTGTTCTTTTTTTTTAATATAAAATAATCATATGTTTAATCGTATACACTCTGTTTATCCAAGGCAAAATTCAATCCATCAATGTAGACTAAAAATTAGGTTAAATTCATTAAGTGAAATTAAGTTAAAATATTCTGGCTTACATATACATAGTGGCAGAAATACTTTGACGAGGACTTTCAAGGTTCTAATGAAACCTGTTATTTAAGTAAGGTACGGAGATGGTAAAACACCGTTTTAAAGCACTGGCTGCGTTCAGCAGTAAACGCTCATAATACATTACGCCATCGTATATGTAATAGGCTTGGAACCTATCGATATATCTGAACTTTTCGACAACAATCCACTGATAAGTTACTTAAAAAAGTAAAATAAAAAAGTGTTCGTATACCTCAAAAAAGAGATATATTTCAAAGTGTTTGTTAAATTCAGGCTTGCCAATTCTTCACGGCAGAATAAAGCTAACATAAGCTTTTAAAAAAGACTAGAAACCACCAAAACATTTAGATTACAGCAAAAAATAACGGTAGAATAGTTAAACGATATTTCTGAGTGTCCCCAATTGGACATATCTTTGGAAAAATAACTAACTTAACTTAAGGTCAAGCACAGTTTTAAAAAATATAACGTATTGATGTGGAGCACCTCAAAAGTACCCGAAAACCGTTTTTTCACTTTTAAATGGAGTATCTGCAATACCTGACATATAGAATATTTTCTGAGACCGGAGTTTAGCGCATCCAAAACTTTACCGAAAGTGTATTCCGATTCTTTAGCGATCTTTTTAAATTTTTATTATCCGCTAGTTTCCAATTTATGTTGCGGTTATTAAAAGCCAAATTTGAAATAAATTTTAAACTATCGGCAAAAGTGAAAAAATTTTGCAAACAAAATTAACGTTGTTAAGATTTAAAAAAAAAATTGGCAACTTCGTGCCATATTTTTCCATTTAAATGACAATAAACATTGACATTATGTTTCAATATAAGGACGTACATATAATAAAATGGTCATATACAACGGATACCACAAGTTTTCGATCCGAATATGTGGATGCTGCAAGAAACAAATATTTTCAGAACTAGCTTCATTTGCCATGGTCGGACTCAGAGGGATAGCGTGTACATTAATTCAGCTGCAGAAGAGGACATAATTAACAATTTTGCCAAGTTCTCAAATACAATACGGAACAAATCGGAATATACTTTTCGGAAAGTTTTTAATGCGCTGAACTCAAATCCGTTCTCAAAAAATTTCTTTTAAACGCCGATAAATCATCCAAGTTTCTTATCCAGATCCTTCATAGCTGTCATAACTATCCAAGACAGCCACCGCTGCAAGGACGCTTGGCAGTCACTCACAAATCATTAATATGTGATACGTTTTTCTGAAATATAGGCGGTAAACAACTAAGTAAGCAACCTCATTTTCCTTCCAAAAGGCCTGTTGGGGCAGCGCTTCCTTCCTTCAAGGCAAGGGGAGTTGTGGAAGATGAAAATTTCCCGCGGCGCAAGCAAAGTAGTGCGAAGTCGAAATAAGAAAAAAACGGGGGCGTCGTAGGGAAATTCACACGCAGTCGATCAGCTTTATTTCGCTTGCAATAGGGCCGTGGACATTACGGCTGGTGACACGCGCCGGAGACGACCCAGCCGAAGACGGTGCTCTGGGCCACCGGGAGCCCTTCGTGGATCTTGAGGAACCCCGGTTGCATCACACGCGGATACATGTCCGCGCCCAGGACTACGGAGATCGTTGCTGGCAAGTAGAAGCGCTCATCGGCTAGCATGACGTCCCGGAAGTGGGCGCGCACCGCCTCACTCAGCTCCCGGACGGGAGTGCGGATGCGCACGCGAGGCTCCACCTTGAAGACCACGTCGAGTTGGACCTCGTTGTCGGCCTTGGGCCTCACGGTAGCCGCACAAATCTGCTCTTCACCGACGCTGGTAGTTGGCAGCCGGAAACACGCTGCCAGCGACGCGTCTATACAGCTCACAGGCGTGCATGGGTCAATGAGGGCCGCCGTGTCGAATGTCTGCGTCTCGGTCTGGATGCGCACCAGCGCAGTCGGCAGGATGTTGACGCTGTGCCGCTGCAGGAGCGACGACAGCGACGGCGCCGCAGCCGCAAAGCGGCCGGCGGAACCTTGCTTCGGAGCGGCAGGCGAGGGCCGAGGAGCCACTGTAGACTGCCGTGGAGCGCAGGACGAAGGCTGCGGCGCGGGTGCAGAACGTCGTGGAGCGGCGGACGAGGACCGCTGAGCTGCTGAGGAACGCCGGGGAGCGGCGGACGAAGGGCGCGGATCGGCTGCAGACCGCCGTGGAGCGGCAGACGAGGGCCTCGGAGCGGCTGAAGAACGCCGTGGAGCGGCGGACGAGGGCCGCGGAGCGGCTGAGGACCGCCGTGGAGCGGCGGATGCGGGTTGCGGAACGGTTGCCGAACGCCGTAGAGCGGTAGACGAAGGCCTAGGAGCTGGAGAACCCCGCTACCGGGACCGCCTCCTGACGCGACTGGCGCGGACTCCGCGGCTCATCGGAGAGGTGCAGCAATGTGTGGTGGTCCTGGCCGCACGTCTTACAGCGATCTCCCCGCTGACACCCTCCGTCAGAGTGCTCGTGGGCCAAGCAGTTGGTGCAGTACCGGTTGGCGAGGACGGCCCGGAGTCGCTTCTCGGCACTCAGCCGCAGAAAACGGCGACACTTCTTCAGCGGATGAACCTTGTTGCAGACTCGGCACCGGTAGGAATTTGAACCTCGCGAACCTCTGCGCTCCAGGGCGATGGCGCTGCGTGGACGTGGAGACATCGTGCTGCTATTACTGGCGGAATGAGACGGAGATAAAAAATCGAAATAAGTAATAGGCACTCGCAAGTCGAGACACAAACAGGAGCTACGGAACGGCACATTGACATAGAACATTGAGGCCGGTGGCTATTGGGGACTGGCGGAAGCTTCCGTCGGAAGAAGGACGAGCTTCGCTATAGGACGCTTAATGAGTCCACGCGCCGTGCGGATGTCGACCACACGGACATGGCCATCGGCTCCGGGAAAGACCGCGTCAATCCTGCCTAACCGCCACTCATTGGACGGAAGGTTGTCCTCCTTGACAACCACCATGTCCCCGACCTGAAGATTCCTTGCCGGAGCTCGCCACTTATTCCGCTTATGGAGTTCCTTCAGGTACTCCTCCTTCCATCGTAGACGAAATTGCTGGTTAAGCGCCTTCAGGTGTTGCCAGCGGTTTATGATGGCCGTGGCGTCCCCCCTTTATTTCGGGTTCAACCACGGCGAGGAGGGGCCCCCCAACCAGAAAGTGCCCAGGAGTCAGTGCCAACAGGTCCGCGGGGTCTTCGGACATCGGCGCGAGCGGACGCGAATTCAGGCACGCCTCGATCCTAGCTAGAAGTGTGGACAGCTCTTCGAATGTGTATTTTCGCGTGGCCGTAGACTTGTAGAACAGGGTCTTGAAACTCTTAACGCCTGCCTCCCACAAGCCTCCCATATGAGGGGCTCCCGGCGGAATGAACTGCCAGAGCAGCTGCTGGTGACTGTAAGCACCAGTCACAGCCTCCTTGACAGCTTGTAGGAAGTCTCGGGAGAGAAGGGTAGCCGCACCCACGAAGGTCTTCCCGTTGTCCGACTGAACCTGACGGGGGCATCCTCTTCGGGACACAAAACGGGCAAAAGCGGCGAGAAACTTCTCAGTCGTAAGGTCGGATGTGGGCTCTAGATGAATGGCCTTAGTGCAGAAGCACACGAACACCAACACATACCCCTTTGTGATGAGGCAAGCTCGACCCGTGTAATTCTTTATGTCGAAGGGACCCGCATAGTCCACACCAGTAAATGTGAAGGGGCGCGAAAAAGCTGTCAGTTCTTGCGGTAAGTCTCCCATGCGATGCGTAAATCGGACTAGGAGTCGAGACAGATGGCAGTCGTACGGAAGGATGACCGGATGCCGTTCGTCATATTGGAGCAGATCGGAGGACGTGACCCGGCCGCATGCTCTCATGAGCCCTTGGGAGTCAAGGAACGGGTTCAGGTTCTGAACCGGACTGGATGCTGGCACTGGCCGCTTTTGGCTCAAGCAGCCAATTTCAAGGACGAAGTGCCTGCGTTGCGTGACGGAAATTAGGAGACGTTCAGCCGCCGCGATTTCTGAAGCTGTCAGGTGATCCTCAACCGGAGACAAGATCTTTCGTGCGCGCTGAATAAACCGATGAACGTAAGCGAAGACTCGCAACGCCTTGTCGAGTGCCGAAAATCGGTCAAGAAGGTCTTCAGGGGGAGCTTTTGCCACATGGACTCTGACAGCTCGCTTCTCGAGATCTGTCACGGGGGAATCATTGCCTGGGATGGGCCACTCGCCGCGCGGCCTTTGCAGCCAGGCTGGACCATGCCACCACAGCTGGCTGTCTGCGAGGTCTTGAAGCCCTACCCCCCGGCTGGCAAGATCGGCCGGGTTATGTTCGGAGCGGACATGTGCCCATCTCTCGACCTGAGTGAATTGGGTAATCTTGGTCACCCGATTGGCCACGAAAGTTGTCCAGTGACACGCCGGCCTATGCAACCAAGCGAGCACAATCATGGAGTCAGTCCAACAGTACAGGGCGGACGCAGGCCCGGGCATCTTTGGAAGAATGGCGCTGGCCATTTCGGACAGTAGCAATGCCCCGCATAACTCGAGCCGCGGAAGCGACACCGTTTTGACTGGGGCAACCCTCGTTTTTGCCGTTAGCAGATTCACCATCACAGTGGCCCCAGCCTCCACCCGGACGTAAATGGCGGCGCCATACGCCTTCTGCGAGGCGTCGCAGAACCCATGATGCTCGATCTTCAAATGGGGTCGGAACGCGACCCATCGGGGAATGCGGATCTGATCGAGAGCAGAGTAGTGTCCCAGGAAGTCAACCCATCTCTGGCAGAAATCTCGAGGGAGGTCATCGTCCCACGCTAGATCTTGGAGCCAAATTTCCTGCATGAACATCTTTGCCTGG